GGGTGTGGACTGGCGCGGCGGGGGCGGAGAGGACGCACCGAGGAGGAGGAGGGATGGCATGGCGCAAGGGGGGCCGCCGCCGCCGGGCAGGTGGGGGGCAGGCGGGGGCCAGGCGCAGCAGGGGGACCCTCCAGCGGCGGAGCGGCGGGGCGGCGGGGGGAGGCTCACCAGGCGCCGCCGGGCGAAGGGGCGGCAGCGGACTCCGGGCCCCCCATGGGCGAAGGCGGCGCGCCAAGGCCGTCCAGGCGGCGAGGGACGGGGAGGGACGGAGGGGGAGGCGCTGCAAGGAGAAGGCTGACGGGGCGAGTCTGGCAGCGGCTGGAGACGCAGCAGGCCGGGGCGGAGCGGCGCTGTCCCCGCCCCGCGGCCGCCTCCGCCCCCCAACCTGGCCCGGCGTCCGGGGAGAGGGAGGCGCGCCGGGGAGGTGTCGCTGGCGCCGAGCGCAGCCTGCCCGGGTGGACCCCCCCCCCCGCTTCTGGGCCCAGATCCGCCTTCTGCGCTCTTGTTGTACTGACTTTGTTGGGGGGGGGGGGCAAGGGAAGGATCCGGCGGCTTTCTCTGCTCCGCGGCCACGGCGGCTCCAGGGTCGCCAGCAGCAGTTGACGCCTGGAGGGAGAGGCCCTGCTGCGGTGGCTCAAGTGCTTAAGACGGTGAACTGCAGGCTGTGGAAGGTCGGTCGTTCAGCAGTCCGAGACCCGAGTGTGCCGCATGACGGAGTGAGCTCCCGTCTCTAGTTCCAGCTCCTGCCGACCTAGCAGTTCGAAAGCAAGAAATTGCAAGTAGATAAATAGGGACCACTTCGGTGGGAAGGGAACAGCGTTCCGTGCGCCTCGGTGTTTAGTCATGCCGGCCACATGACCACGGAAACGTCTTCGGACAGCGCTGGCTCTTCGGCTTTGAAACGGAGATGAGCACCACAACCCTAGAGTCGGATTCGACTAGCTTTCCAGCAAGGGAACCTTTACCTAAGAGCCGTAGAACTCAATAGGACTTTTTGTGAATATGCATGCCTGGGATACAGTGTGGCCTAGGGGTTAGAGGGGCTGGATCGGGGAGCACCAAGTTCGAATCCTCACCAATGCTCCCTCTACGCTGTGGGGTCTTGTGAGTAAAAATTCTACTTTGTGAGCTCCTGGCATTACAGTTGTGAGCGAGCGATGTGGCCCTTTGCATAAATCAGTTTGCTTTGGAGCCATCCTTCCAGAGCTAAGACAAAAATGTGTGAGCTGTAGGCTAAAAAACTGTGAGCTAGCTCACACTAACTCAGCTTAGAGGGAACACTGGTCCTCACTCTGGCATGCAAGCTTGCTGCTTGGTCTTAGGCCAGAGTCAGCCTGGCCTACCTCACAAGGCTGTTGTGAGGATACAATGGAGAAAGTTGTAAGCCAGTACAGTAATCGCTCTGCACTGGCATGGCTTATGGGATATTTTAAAAGACATAGTATTGTGCCAGCTGCTTGATCTGGCAAATGCCCAGGCACTTTAGAAACAAGCATTTCTTTCTCCTTTCTTTCATTCATCTATCTTGTCTATCCTGCTTGTCTGGAAGTCATGGTTGACTTCTGGAGACCTCTACTGGGAGCTTGGACGTTTTTCGGAGCGGTGGCTTGATCAGTCTGCCTCCGGAGGTCGCCCTTCCGCCTACTTGCCATGCCAAAGGACATTTCTTTAGGGTGACACGCTAACTCACCTTATGCAGAAAATAGAAAGCTGGTCATCATTTAAAAATCTCTGTATGAAACTGGACAGACAGTAGGCTCTTCTGATGTTCTTAGAGACTCAAAGCAAAAAATTATTAATCCGGAGTGACCCCCAGGAAGCTATCATACTGAGTCAGACCTTTGGTCCATCAAGGCGAACCTTTACTGGCAGCCCAGGGTCTCAGATGGAGGTCTTTCACACCATCTACTGCCCAGTCCTTTTGAATCTGTAGATGCCAGGGGTTGAAGCTGGGGTCTTGTGACATGTGCTCTGCCACTGAGCCATGACTTCACTGGATTAGAATCTGCCATGCACTGAAAAAAGTGTGGGAGAAGTGGAAATCCAGTGATCCACTTAGTTTTTCAGCTATGATCTTTGTGAATCTAACAGGCACCAAGTGGTTTGTGTTTCTAGAGTCTGTGATCTGAGTGCAGAACCGACCTTGGCTAAAAGGTACGTTTCATTTCAGAGTGACTCTCATATGCTCCCTCTCCTGCATTAATTGTATTCTAAGATACACACAGACAGCTGTCTAAGATATCTCAGCCAGCGTTGCTAGCAGAATATGTGAAACCAATAATTAGATCCTGCAGTGAATAGAATACAGGTTCTTGGTTATCTGTTGCGGGGCGCTCTGACAGATGTATGCTTCAGCCACAATAAACGTACCTATGGTGCCCTAAAACATGGCTGTTCCATGTACCGCACTGTCAGTGTGGCCTTGGCCAAGTCATTGACTGCATCTCAGGTCATTTTCCTTGCTTCAGGTTTTTTTAAAAAATGTGCTGCACACGTTTTGCTCCCTCTAGCGGTCGACTGTATTACAGTGCTTTATACCCAGCATAAAAACCTGCAATTTAAATCTGAAGGGAGATATTCTGGACATAAAGGTAAAGGTTCCCTTGCTCGAAAGCCAGTCGAATCCAACTCTAGGGTGGCGGTGCTCATCTCCGTTTCCAAGCCGAAGAGCCAGCGCTGTCCGAAGACGTTTCCGTGGTCATGTGGCCGGCATGAATAAACACCAAGGCGCACGAACGCTGTTACCTTCCCACCGAAGTGGTACCTATTTATCTACTTGCCATTTCTTGCTTTCGAACTGCTAGGTTGGCAGGAGCTGGAACTAGAGACAGGAGCTCACTCCGTCTTGCGGCACCCGGGTCTTGAACTGCTGAACTACTGACCTTCCACAGCCTGCAGTTCAGCATCTTAACCACTTGAGCCACCGCAGCTCTGGACATAACATGGTGTAATATGAAATCAACCACCAGAGGGAGCACAACACATGCAAAACAGAAAAAAACACCAGAAGGAACAGGAACACACATGCCAGAAAAATGAGAAAAAGCCCAACGTCTCACTCCCCATCTCTCTTCACTCAGAGGCTTATAAAGAGTCTTCAAGCTTCTAGACCAGTGATGACGAACCTTTTTGAGACCCGAGTGCCCAAACTGCGACCCAAAACCCACTTATTTATCACATAGTGCCAACACGGCAATTTAACCTGAATACTGAGGTTTTACTTTAGAAAAAACAACTCATATGTTATTAACTATTGATGTATGTTGAAAACTTTGTTGGTGATTAACTGGCTGATTTGTAATTTTGGATTCTCAGGACTTTTCTATACTGTTTTGCAGTTATTGTACATGTTCTACTTGATCTTAATAAACATTTTAAAAAAATGATCCAAACAAAGTAAGGAAAGCAATCCCAAATGCTTTCATTTACTTAAAATTATTTGGCAGAGAATTTTACACTTTAATGATGGTCTGGGCCTGGCTGGGGCGATGGGACTCGTGCCCACAGAGGGCTCTGAGTGCCACCTCTGGCACCCATGCCATAGGTTTGCCACCACTGTTCTAGACCTCATGGCAGTAGAACCCGGGTGAGACTGAAATGCATTAAGGATCGTGATACCAGGAAGCAGATAGCAAGGCATCGGTCATTTGCCTTTTAAATCCTGTGCACTTTAATTTTGCCTTTAGAAACCCAGTCCATAATGTATCTACTTTGAATTTGGACCTACACTGAAATTATTGGTGCTTGGGGGGGGGGGTCAACAGTGGGAGGACTTCTAATGTCCTGGCCCCACTGGTGGACCTCCTGATGGCACCTGGTATTTCTGGCCACTGTGTGATACAGAGTGTTGGACTGGATGGGCCTTTGGCCTGATCCAACATTGGCGTCTCTTATGTTCTTATGTTATTCTTCTCACCACCACCACCCCAAAAAAACCCGTGCTTCCTCACACTTTCCATCTATGTCAAGGTTTTCTGTGGGGAGGCTATTTTGGGGTTGAGTTAGGGGAGAGGGCAAAGGGGAAACGTATTAGAAACTGGGAGGAAGCTGTACACACACGCGGTCTGTTTTTCTTACCAATTTTATTGTGATCAGACTTAGAAAATAACTTGGCAAATATTTCCTGAGAGAGACGTTTTGAACCCCGGTTGTTGCCTGCTGAGGAAATGAGATGAGGGAGGGTCCCCGTGTGTGTGTGTGTGCTGTGAAGTGATGTTGGCTGCCGTCCAAAACACATGCCAAACCAGAGGGGGGATTTTGAGCGGAAAAAAGCCAATGGATCCATAGGTCAGGCTGAAGGACTTTGTGTCACATTCGCCCGACCCTGGCAGCCATTGGCTTTGCTGGCTGCCTTGGCAATCCTTTGACCTAACCTGGCACTCCCTAGTTGCCCCCCCCCACACACACACACCTTGGCTCATGCCTGCAGTGCTTTTCTCCAGAAGGGTGGGGGATGTCGTCCACATCGTGCTTGGTATAAAGTCCGCACTGACCATTTTTTGCCCTCTCCCGTCCCTTTTTTGCAGGTACCTCCTCACCTTTACCTCTTCCCTCCTATCCCAGAATTCCTTGCGCCTTTGGCCATTTTATGTTCTCTGTGTGTCTGCTTTCACCCCTTCGAGGTCATCTCCTCCCGTGATCTCCTCTTCGGTGGCAGAGTTCGCCGTTCTCCTATTTGCACACCTTTCAGACGCTGTCCTAGAACCCCCTCACCGAAATAAAAAGGGTTGTTTCTCAGTAATTCTCCTCTGGTGCTTTCCCTCTAGGGCTGTGGGGGTGGGTGCGTTGGGCCCCTAACCCCCACCATTATGTCCACAGGAGTGGGCGGGCGTGAGCACGCCATTGTCTGCCCATCTCCCAGTTCTGTTCACGTCTTTGGTCTACAACTCCACGCCATAACCTCAACTGGCGCTCTTGGGAACACGGTGCAGAAATACTAACACGGCAGTTGGAAGGATCTAGCTATTCACCACGATAGCAGTCACCAAACTGGAAGAGATGGGAACCAGGACCTGATTTGTGGCACTGAATCGGAGGTGAAGGTCAGGCAGGGTCTTTGGTTAGGAGAATACGTGAAGGTTACAGATGCAAAGGTCGGCGTGAAACCATGGAAACTGAGCCAAGATACGGTGAACTGGTGCACTGCCATTTCTGGTCATAAGGTAGAGTGGTTGAGGTACAGACTAGAGACCTTGTTTCAGCTGGGAAAGATGTCGAGGAGAGGCTAAAGGTCAGGACGAGGTTACCTTCACTACAGGCAAAGGCGACCACCCAAGGGTCAACTGTCACAAAGTGCTGCCTCATGGAACGGACGCTGGGTTTAGTGATCCCAGGTTCGAAGCAAACGTGTAACCAGAGAAACCTCGCTACCGACACAGGGGCCAGCATTACACTCATAAGCACTGCCAGAGGCCGTCCAGCGCCACTGCATTCAAAAGTCCGAAGCGTCAGGGGAATTATTGCCAAAGGATTGTAGAACGTATCGCAGCTAAGGGGGCGGTTAACTGCCTCGGAACGCAATGTCAAGATGGCGCCAAGGTGGCCAGCAAAGAGGTGAAGGCCAGCGCCCGTCTGGAGAGCTCCGCCACGCACTCTCGCATCTCGCGGGCGGCGGGAAGCGACGGGTAGCGCAGGGCGGCGCCCTTCACTGAAAGCACGGCTTCTTTCAGGGCCTGGCAGAGGGCACCGCTGGCCGCCCCCACTCTGGCTCGGACGGTGGCGGAGGACGCTAGCCGAGACACCGTGTCCCCCACGAACACCAGTTTGTGCGCTGTGACAATGACGAACTTGCCGTGGGGCACAAAGACCCGGGGGGGCTGGTTGGCACCGGCGCTGGCAAGGAGTGCCTCGATGGCTGAAAGCAGGGTGGAGTAATGGGTTTGGCACTGCCCCGTATAGAACTGCAACAACTGGCTGTCCTCTGGGGAAGGCGGCACCTGGGAAGAAGAGGGAGAGGAGAGGAAAAGGTTCATGGGATTTCATACCTGGCTGATTGAAATGACTGCAATCCCGACCTGGAACCTTATTCCCACATGTGTCCCGAGAAATACAAGCGTGGAAATCCCTAATATTTAAGCAGATTTTTACAAAGTGAGCAGGGGGGGTCGGAAGGAGAGGAGATTGGATTTATACCCCGCCTTTCAGTACCCGAAGGAGTCTCAGAGCGGCTTACGATCTCCTTTCCCCTCCCCACAACAGACACCCTGTGAGCAATGCTCCCTCTAAGCCGTGGAGTCTTGTGCGCAAAAATTCCACTTTGTGAGCTACTGGCACTCAAGTTGTGAGCAAACAATTTGGCTACTGCATAAATTAGTTTGCTCTGGAGCCCTCCTTCCTGAGCTAAGACAAAAATGTGTGAGTCAGAGGCTAAAAAACTGAGCTAGCTCACACTCACTCAGCTTAGAGGGAACAGTGCCTGTGAGGGAGGTGGGGCTGAGAGAGCTCTCTCGAGAACTCCCCTTGAGAGAATTTATGACTAGCCCAAGGGCACACCAGCAGCTGCGTGTGGAGGAGTGGGGAATCAAACCCGGTTCTCCCAGATTAGAGTCCGTGCTCCTAACCGCTACACCAAACTGGCTCTTGTATAAGCGTAAGAGCATAAGAAGAGCCCTGCTGGATCAGACCAATGGTCCATCTAGTCCAGCATCCTGTCTCACACAGTAGCCAACCAGCAATTCTAGATGGACAAGAACAGGGCACAGAGGCCAAGGCCTTCCCCTGATGTTGCCTCCTGGCTCTGGGATCCAGAGGTTTAGTGCCTCTGAATGTGGAGGTTCCCCTCAGTCACCGTGGCTAGTAGCCAATGACAGACCTGTCCTCCATATATCAATCTAATCCCCTTTTAAATCTGTTTATTCCTGCAGCCATCAACTACATCCTCTGGCAGCGAATTCCAAATTTTAACCACTCTCTGTATAAAGTCGTATTTCCTTTTGTCCACTGTGAACCTACCACCAATGTTCCCTCTAAGCTGCGGAATCTTGTGAGCAAAAATTCTACCTTGTGAGCTATTGGCATTAAAGTTGTGAGCAAGCAATTTGGCTACTGCATAAATTAGTTTGCTCTGGAGCCATCCTTCCTGAACTAAGAAATAAATGTGTGAGCCAGAGGCTAAAAAACTGTGCGCTAGCTCACAAAAACTCAGCTTAGAGGGAACACTGCCAACCACCCCATCAGTTTCATTGGCTGCCCTTGAGTTCTAGTGTTTTGGGAAAGGTGGGGCACGGTAGGGCCTTCACCCGGCAGGGGTCCTGACTAGGAGATCTGATGGGCTGTGTGGCTTCAAAAACAGCATCGCTTTGGCGGCAGCTGTGGGGACGAAGGTAGGCTGTGTGGATGCAAGAGAATATCAGAGTCATGCGCACGCTCACTCCCTGCTTATTTTGTGGTTGCCTCCACCTCCTGCGGCGTCCTGACTAGGAGATCTGATGGGCTGTGTGGCTTCAAAAACAGCATCGCTTTGGCAGCCGCTGCCAGCACAGCACGAGGGTGCACACTGTGAGGACGAAGGTAGGCCGTGTGGATGCAAGAAAATATCAGAGTCATGCGCCTGCTCACTCCCTGGTTATTTTGTGGTTACCTCCACCTCCTGCGGCAGCCATTTTGTGACTGGGCCCGCTATCCCGAGGAAGACGAGAAAAGGAGATTGGATTTATACCCCACCCTTCTCTCGGAGTCTCAGAGCGGCTGACAAGTCCCTTTCCCTCCCCCTCTCCACAACAGACACCCCGTGAGCAATGTTCCCTCTAAGCTGTGGAGTATTGTGAGCAAAAAATCTACTTTGTGAGCTACTGGCATTAAAGTCGTGAGTGGGCGATTTGGCTACTGCATAAATTAGTTTGCTCTGGAGCCCTCCTTCCTGAGCTAAGACAAAAATGTGTGAGCTGGAGGTGAAAAAACTGTGAGCTAGCTCACACTAACTCAGCTTAGAGGGAACACTGCCCATGAGGTAGGCGGGTCTGAGAGAGCTCTGACAGAAACGGCTCTTTTTCAAGAACAGCTCTTATCAGAACTACGGCTTGCCCAAGGCCATCCAACTGCGAGTGGAGGAGTGGGGAATCAAACCCGGTTCTCCCAGATAAGAGTCCACTGCGCTCTTAACCACTACGCCAAACTGGCTCAGAACTCCCCCAGGCTCAAAAAGGTTGGGGACGCTGAATGTGTCAGTCTGCCTTTGATACGACAAGAAAGCCCCGGCACGATTTAGTGCGGCATGCGAGAAGTCTGAAACCAGGTCCCCTCTCTGCAATTGACTGACCTACGGCAGGTCTCACTATATTTTTTTTAAAAAGAAGCAGCCCCCCTCATAGGGTATATATATATATATATAAAAACAGATACCTGTTCTTCAGTCTGAGCTGTATCACCAGGAAGCGCAGGTCCAGGGGTCCCCTCTGGCGTAGAAGGCTTGGGCTGGCTTTTATCTGCTCCCTAGGGAGGCAATATCATATAGGTATCAGTGATTTGGGGCCAGGTAAATCACAAAGTACGAGGAAAAAATGCAGAGCGAGTGTGAAGGCTTAGTGGACTTCAGATATGAGGCTCTGGGAGCCCGAAGAACTTCTTATCCAGCTCCATGACTAGCGTAAGTTATGCATACTATAAGCACATGTCCCTGGTTTATAAAGGATATAGAAGAAGAAGAGATTGGATTTATACCCCGCCCTTCACTACCCAAAGTTGTCTCAGAGCGGCTTACAAACTCCTTTCCCTTCCCCTCCCCACAACCGACACCCTGTGAGGTAGGTGGGGCTGAGAGAGCTCTGCCAGAAACTGCTCTTTTTCAAGAACATACAACCTCCTTTCCCTTCCCCTCCCCACAACAGACACCCTGTGAGGTAGGTGGGGCTGAGAGAGCTCTCTCGAGAACTCCCCTTGAGAGAACTTGTGACTGGGCCAAGGTCACACCAGCAGCTGCGTGTGGAGGAGTGGGGAATCAAACCCGGTTCTCCCAGATTAGAGTCCGCGCACTTAACCACTACACCAAACTGGTGTAGAAATCAAGCTTGTATGGCTGAGAATTTGATTAAGAAGGGCACAGAAATCATATTTTTAAAAAGAATAGTATATGCACTGTCCTGGAGATGAACATACTGAATGAAGTCTATGACAACTGTAATCCATTTTTTAAAAGCCTGGGATTAATTCTCAGAGTTAAACCTCAATGAAATTTGGGAACAGTACTTTCATGAGAGCACTGATTGTCAGAGAACCTTCATAGAATTCCCAGGATTCCTAGAGAGGGAAGCCATGTAAATTACACAGGAGTGTGCAAGTTTCCACTAGGAGGGTGGATCTTCATTAAGGTTGCCTGGCAACCCTCTGGAGGGAGGGCAGCATCACTAGCGCACCTGGAAATGATCGCAGTGACTCTAGGAATCACTGGAAACTCTATGGTTTTACCACAGAGTTTCCAGTGATTCCTAGAGTTACCACTGCTGCTTCAAGGTATTCCCCGGAAGTGACATCATCATGCAGGTGATGCCGGTGAGTTTTAAATCTTTTTACAATCTTTTATTCATTTAAATGTTTAGTTTCCCCCCTGCCATGGCTCCATGCAGTGGTGAGGAACAGGAATTTGGGGCGGGGATCCCACCTTGACCAGAGGCCTGGCAGCCTTAATTCTCATAAAGACTGCTTCCATAACAGCTGCACAACAGGCAGAAAATCAGCAGGCCATGTTTTTCCTAGCATGGTGAAACAGTGACAAAAAAATAATTTCTTGAATTTCTGTCAATCTGCTAAGGATGGCTTCCCCCCCCTTGTTGCGTCTCTATTCCAGCAAAAGCATCGCCTTATGAAGCGCCAGTTTGGTGTAACTATGAGTTGCCGAGTTTTGTGGGAAAGACACTCCGCGTCCTTTTCCTACATAATAATATTTTATAAAAGCCACTTTGATAACAGCAGCCAAGAAACAGTTTAAAGTCTTTATCAATGTCCTGAGGTACAGTTCCTCCCTGATTGCACTTTTGGAGACAGACTACATAGAGATGCGCATCCACGGATTTGTCCTTTTAGGACGTTGTCCCCTGCGCATGAGTAAACCACATCCCCAAAATACAAGATTAGTAAACCGTATCCCCAAAATGATAGCTTAGAAACAAAATGTCCCTGGTGTGTAAAATGACCCCAGAATGTAGACATACTGAGGTAAAATAACAAAACTTCCATCAATATGACAAGTAGAGCACAGAAATGTATCTCTGTACCATAGAAGCCCATGAGCGACACACCCTGAACTAGAGACGCTGAGGATGGGGAAAAGAGTCTAGCCCTAACAGGAGGAGGCTTAGTCAGTCAGGTTTATGACGGGTGAGAGTTACAGGATGGAAGTTGCGACAGGAGAATGAGTTGAACAGGACTGTGAATTAAAGGTCTATGGAGATGTCGGATCTTTGGTGAAGTTCCCAGTCAGGTCAACTGAGGTGTTGGAAGCCAGCAGGGCTTGCCGAGTCTGGCACATAATGCAGTTGTGGCAGGAGCGCCGAATTTTTATGCTATAAGCCTGTCTGAGAGGAAGTTTCAATTCAAAACCTAACGCCCCACAACTCCTGGTTGATTTGTTAATATTCACCTGGGTTGTGTCTTTCTTTCTGCATAAATTCTGTTCTCGTTCAGTCATAAAAAGCAAACCATCTTTTTCCTGTCAGTTTACTCAGTATGCCTCAGGGTTATGAGGCTCGAATGGATTTTTATCTGCTCAAACCTTTTTAAATCGCTGCTGGGAAACCCCAGTGTAGTGGGGCGGGGAATTCTGACAGGAAAAATTCCAGCCCCCAGAAAATCCATCACAATCCTTTCATATGTACAAAGCTGATCTTTAGAACAGGGAGGAAGGATCCTTCACGATCTTTGAGATCGGATATCCTTCTGGCAAAGTATCAAAGCCACTCCCATTTTTACATGCATTGCAAAGACTTTATTCCATTTTCTTTAAAACAATCTCTTTGACCATATCCATCAGAGCCCTTTTTCACATCTGGTTGGCAAGAAGGACATGTTTTCTGCAGACGCCCTATTTTTGTTTGTTCCGGGGTGAAATTCCTTCTCAGTTGTACTTTTGGGGGCAGAATGGATAGAAAAACAGTTCTGCTCAATGCTCCTTCTTTGGAGTCTTGTGAGCAACAATTCTGCTTTTGTGAACCACTCGAAAATGAAACAAGTAAATGTGGTAAAGAGACCATTTTTGTGAGATTGGGTGGACGTGACGCCATCTTGGTTACGGAGTGAAGGGCTGAGGCACCGATTTTCCCGAGAGGCCGCTTCCCCTACCTTGAGATGAACATAGTCGTACTCCTCTGCCAGACGGATCCCCTCGTATTCGTTGTACCCCTCGTCCCTGACAGACTCCAGCTGGTCTTCTGCTCCGAGACCCCCCAGTCGAGGAGGGGGCGGGGGCAGCGGGCGGTCCTGGATGCTCCCCTTCCGGACGATACTTGGCGACGGTTGCGGTGGCTCTACGGAAAGGCGCTCTTCGCTGGGAAGGGCGGGCAACGGGCGACGGGACAGACTCTCGGCAGAGGGTAGACGAGGGCGGGAAGGGGGGCCGGGATCCCGCAAGCTTAGTCCTTGGAGCGCCCCCTCAAGGGGCGGAGAGCCGGGCGGCAGCAGAGGGATGTCGTAGATGCCTCCGTCTTCGTCCTCCTCTTCTTGCTGCTCCCCCTGGCCTCCTCCCAGCACCTCCTCGGGCGACTCGTACAAGTTCAGCAACGCCGAGGCTCGCCGCAAGTTGGACGGGGTGGCGTAGACCAGGGGCCTCTCTGAGCCCTCCTCTTCCTCCCCCTCTTCCTCCTCTTGACCCGCGGCGGAGGGCTTCTTGAAGGCAAGCGGCACGTCATAGGGGTCACCAGCGGGCGGGGGCAGCATGGGCTGCGGGGCCACGCGGGCCACTTTCTTGGGACACGGGGAAGGTGAGTCGTAGGTGTCCACTGGAGACTCCCGGAGCAGGGCTGAAGGGACGTCGTAGACCTGCGGGTGGGCAAAATGACGAATGGAGAAAAGGGGGAGTGAGAAAAGAGATGGTCGGAGGGAAGTCTTTGTGGATGTTGGCCACATAAGCCACACGTTCCCACCAGCCTTATATTACAGCAGGGGTCCCAATCCATGCTCCCTCTTAAGCTGTGGAGTCCTGTGAGCAAAAAATTCTACTTCGTGAGCTACTGGTATTAAAGTTGCGAGCCGGCGATTTGGCTACTGCCTAAATTAGTCTGCTCTGGAGCCCCATCCTTCCTGAGCTAAGACGAAAATGTGTGAGCCGGAGGCTAAAGCTAGCTCACACTAACCCAGCTTAGAGGGAACACTGGTCCCAATCAATGTTCCCTCTAAGCTGTGGAGTCTTGTGAGCAAAAATTCTACTTTGTGAGCTACTGGCATTAAAGTTGTGAGCGAGCAATTTGGCTACTGCATAAATTAGTTTGCTCTGGAGCCATTCTTCCTGAGCTAAGACAAAAATGTGTGAGCTGGAAGCTAAAAAACTGTGAGCTAGCTCACACTAACCCAGCTTAGAGGGAACACTGGTCCCAATCCTTTTTGAGGCCGCAGGATCCTTCATAATTCTGACACACAGTGGTGGAGGCATCCACAAAATGGCTGCCGTGGGAGCGGGAACCAACCAGAAAATCTCAGAGGGAGGGTTATGCCTAGTTCTAATGACTCTTCAGTGTTTTAGGCAGAAGCTCTGCTTGTCAGGAAGCCTTTTTAAGCGAACGTATTATTTGAACATATTCTTGTTCATACTCAGCTTACGTTCAGTCATGCAGAGAAAATCCTCCTGCTGTGGTGGCAGCTGCCGCCAAGGCAATGTTTTTAAACACTGCAAAGCCCACCAGATCTCCAACGGCCAATCAAAACAGGCCGAACTCAATGAGATCTGTGAAGAGATCTCCCCAGTGCTTTATTTTAAAGTGCAGGTGCTGGATCGGGGCAGTGGCCCTGAGGGTGGGCGAATGGGTGGGAGAAGCCTTCCCTCTCTACAAACACACACACCCCTGTCTTTAGAAGCCAACCGCAAGAGGGATTCTGGTCTGCTGAGGCAGGGACCATTTGCCACAAGACCAATGTCCACCAAGAGCCATTGCAAACAGCATTCCAGCAAAAGCCAGCCTTCCACAGGTCAAAGGAGGATCCCGTCAGGAAATCTAACACAGCGACCAAAGAATAAGGCCTTCCCTTCTTGTCATTGTTTCCCTGCGGAGCCTGGACGACCATCTTACGGGTATGTTGTATGTAGGGCTATCTTTCGGCAATGCTCCTGCAGAGTGCAGGGGGTTGGACTGGATGACCTGCAAGGTCCCTTCCAATTCGAACATTCTATGATTCCCCTGAAACATTTCTCCCCTGCTTACTGGTCAACAATAACGTTGGCAAGACCCATTTGGAGATTTTCCAATATCGCATTCATGTTTGGCGCCGGGATCATCTAATTTCATATTACAGATACAGGAATCAATTGTCTTGAGTGTTCTTCAACATCAAAATGTCCATGCCTGCAGAAAAGTAGCTGAGGGCCAGTTTGGTGTCGTGGTTAAGTGTGCGGACTCTTATCTGGGAGAACTGGGTTTGATTCCCCACTCCTCCGCTTGCAGCTGCTGGATGACCTTAGGCAAGCCATAGTTCTGACAAGAGCTGTCCTTGAAAGGGCAGTTCTCGAAAGAGCTCTCTCAGCCCCACTTACCTGTCTGTTGTGGGGAGGGAAAGGAGTTTGTAAGCCGCTCTGAGACGCCAAGTAAAGGGCGGGGTATAAAACCAATTCTCCTCCTCTTCTTCATATTGGGGTTCTAGGCCTAACCTTTTTCCTGCTGTGCAGGATTTCTGCTTGCGGGCAGTGTTTTATTTTTAACATGAGAGCCCACTGAAAACTTTTAAACCCCCATATTTAGCCTGAAAGGGTGCAATGCCATGAGATTTATCTGCCAATTATCTCAAAGAGAAGGCACTGTGAACGAGGAAATTTTATCAAGCAGACAGAGGAAAGTTCAAGGAGGCAATGAAAGGACCGTTTCAACCAAATGCCCTGAAGTTGTTTTATAAACAAAAAAACCCAACCCCCTTTTCCAATTGAAAGGCTGTTTGCCTCTGTATTGTGTGCGCACAATTATTGGTCATTATCATCTGTTCGTGCAGAACTGTGGCATCTCACAGAACTGTGAAGGCAAAAATAGGCTGCACTGGGCCTCCAAGTAGTTTGCAGATCTGCAAAAGATAATGCAGCTGAAGGAGGGGAGAACTCGAGTAAACCCAGTGACAGGTACTTAAAGCTTAGAATCATAGAACGTTAGAGTCGGAAGGGACCTTGCAGGTCATCTAGTCCAACCCCCTGCACTCTGCAGGAGCATAGCTGAAAGACAGCCCTACAACATACCCGAAAGATGGTCGTCCAGCCTCCGCTTGAAAACGTCCAGCGAAGGAGCATCCACCACCTCCCGAGGCAGCCTGTTCCACTGCTCAACCACTCTGACAGTTAGGAAGTTTCTCCTGATATTTAGCCGGTAACGACTCCCTTGCAATTTCCACCCATTAGACCTAGTCTTGCAATCTGGAGCAAGAGAGAATAGATCCGCTCCATCGTCTACATGACAGCCCTTCAGATACTTGAAGGCTGCAATCCTGTCCCCTCTAAGCCTTCTCTTTCCCAGGCTAAACATACCCAACTCTCTCATCCTTCCCTCCTAAGACTTGGATTCCAGCCCTCTCACCATCCCGGTTGCCCTCTTCTGGACACAGCTTGTCAGCATCCTTCCTAAAATGTGGTGCCCAAAACTGGACACGGTACTCCAGGTGAGGCCTGACCATAGCAGAATAGAGCGGAACGACCATCTCCCGTGATCTGGACACGATGCTTCTGTGAATGCATCCTAAGACTGCATCCTAAGATTGCTTGAATGCAGTTGGGAGTGAGGATGTATAAGTTGAAGACCCAGTGGGAAAGGGTGGGGGTCTAAGGGGGAACTTGAAGGACAACAGAGAAGTGGTTCTGTGTACCTATTCAGAGAGGAGACAGCAAGGGAGAAGAGGCAGGGTTGCAACCCCCCCTGTATACACATATGTATTTGCTAAACTGCAAATGAAGGGCTGGTTCACACATGCATGTACATCCCTTGATGTCTCCCAGATTATCTTGAATGAACGGACCGGACGGACAAACAGTCTGTCTGAAGTAACATGGAAGTCCTTGCTAGGACGGAGTCTCTCCAGAAATGGCCCATCTTCACACGCAAGTCACTCCTGTAGCCGTCAAGGGGTAAACATGCATGTGTGGATCAGCCCAAAGTGGAGTTGGGATATTTTTTTCCCTCCCTCCTTTTCCTTTAATATGATTTGCTTTCAACATTCTTGGGCGGGCCTCTCTTCAAAAGCAAAAGATGCAGGAGTTGGCGTGGATATTAAATAAAAAATCCTGATCCGTCCTTCCCTGTACTCTGGGGCTGAAATACAAGAGCCAAAGAACCCCACACAGATTATGGGTACAACCAGTTCCCTGGAGCTGCTGCTGTCCAAGCCCCACAGATCAGACACCCCCCAACACCACAGTATCCCTTTAGTTTAAATTCTAATCTAACAGCCAACCCACCCACCACCACTCCCCACCAAGTTCTCATCCATCTAGGGCGAGCCTTTTGTCTCAGCTGCAGAATTAAGTGAAGGCCACAGATCTGGTTTGGAGACAGCCGTCTCCACATTTGGGGTCGGATACAGTTACCCTCAGAGACCAGGATGGCCGCAGCTGTTTCCTGCAACAGTTCCAGCTGTCCACTCCCAAGGAGGGGGTGCATTGGGAGAGAGCTGCCATAAACGGCAGCCTCGCCATTATCTAAACCTCACGCACCTGTCTGGCTTGGGACAGAAACAGGAGGCCATAAGGCAAAAAGGTAAACGGAGAGAAACAGAAAAGGAGCAAGAGTCCAGTAGCACCTTTAAGACTAACAAAACTTGTGGCAGGGGAGGAGCTTTCGTGAGACCCTGGAGAGATGTTGCCTTGCCAGTCTGAGTAGAGAATACTGACTTTGATGCCTGATTCAGTATACCATAAGCAACTTCACTGAGGAGGGGCTGTGGCTCAGTGGCAGAGCATCTGCTTGGCATGCAGAAAGTCCCAGGTTCAATTCCCGGCATCTCCAGTTGAGAGGACCAGGCAGAAGATGATGTGATTCGAGTTTATACCGTGAATAAAACTCTGTTGGTCTTAAAAGTTCCCCTGGACCCCAAAAAGATTTTTAAGCCTTTCTTTCAGGCCTGCTTTGGCCATCTTGGAACCTTCCCGCTGTCGCAGGCGCTACCATGACAGTCTGTTGCCACCTTAAGTTTGACCTCACAATCCCCAGATAAGCACTAACCTCTGTAGGGTCCCCGTCTCTTCTGACGCCACGGGGGACCCTGTAGATCCCTTCAGGAGGCAGCGGGCAAGGCCGAGCGGGTGGGGGCACCTCATAGACCTGGACAAAGGACAAGAGAGAAGTCAAGGCCGGGATGGAGTATTCCCCCAGAGGAAGCAGCGTGGAAGCTGAAAATGAGGTGGTACAGGGGAGACCATAGGGCAGTGGTGGCAAACCTATGGCACGGGTGCCAGAGGTGGCACTCAAAGCCCTCTCTGTGGGCACGCGTGCCATCACCCAAGCCAGGCCCAGACCATCATTAAAGTGTGGAATTCTCTGCCAAATAATTTTAAGTAGATGAAAGCATTTGGGACTGCTGTCTTTACTTTGTTTGGATCATCTTAAGTTAATGTATGAGTTGTTTTTCCTAAAGTAAAACCTCAGGACTCAAATTCAATTGCCGTGTTGGCACTTTGCGATAAATAAGTGGGTTTTGGGTCGCAGTTTGGGCACTCGGTCTCTAAAAGGTTCGCCATCACTGCCATAGGGGATTTCAGCAGTGGTACAGGTGTAACTTCACAAGCAACCACTAGAAAAATTTACCCTTTTTTTTTTGGCAATTTTCAAAATTTTCTCAATGGATGGGTTTTTTTTACACGCTGGGGTTCAGTTATGCCTATTCCAGGTTGGGAAATTCCTGGAGATTTAGGGATACAGCCTAGGGAAGGTGGAGTTTGGGGACGGGAGGAAACGCAGTGAGACAGACTGCCAGAGTCCGCCCTCGGGAGATCTTTTCTAATTCTGGGGGATCTCCACACCCCACCTGGAGGTTGGCAAGACTAGGCCCAGACCTGTCCAGCCACCTTGACCCTTCCCCCGAAGGGATCCTGGCTCCCAAATACGAAGCGTAGCTATGAGTTGCAGAGTTTTGTGGGAAAGACACGCCGCGTCCTTTTAAATCTTTTTACAATCTTTTATTCATTTAAATTTTTAGTTTTCCCCCTGCCATGGCTCCATGCAGTGGTGAGGAACAGGAATTTGTGGCGGGGATCCCATCCTGACGAGAGGCCTGGCAGCCTTAATTCTCATAAAGACTGCTTCCGTAACAGCTGCACAACAGGCAGAAAATCAGCAGGCCAAGTTTTTCCTAGCATGGTGAAACAGTGACAAGAAAAAAATAATTTCTTGAATTTCTGTCAATCTGCTAAGGATGGCTTCCCCCCCCTTGTTGCGTCTCTATTCCAGCAAAAGCATCGCCTTATGAAGCGCCAGTTTGGTGTAACTATGAGTTGCCGAGTTTTGTGGGAAAGACACTCCGCGTCCTTTTCCTACATAATAATATTTTATAAAAGCCACTTTGATAACAGCAGCCAAGAAACAGTTTAAAGTCTTTATCAATGTCCTGAGGTACAGTTCCTCCCTGATTGCACTTTTGGAGACAGACTACATAGAGATGCGCATCCACGGATTTGTCCTTTTAGGACGTTGTCCCCTGCGCATGAGTAAACCACATCCCCAAAATACAAGATTAGTAAACCGTATCCCCAAAATGATAGCTTAGAAACAAAATGTCCCTGGTGTGTAAAATGACCCCAGAATGTAGACATACTGAGGTAAAATAACAAAACTTCCATCAATATGACAAGTAGAGCACAGAAATGTATCTCTGTACCATAGAAGCCCATGAGCGACACACCCTGAACTAGAGACGCTGAGGATGGGGAAAAGAGTCTAGCCCTAACAGGAGGAGGCTTAGTCAGTCAGGTTTATGACGGGTGAGAGTTACAGGATGGAAGTTGCGACAGGAGAATGAGTTGAACAGGACTGTGAATTAAAGGTCTATGGAGATGTCGGATCTTTGGTGAAGTTCCCAGTCAGGTCAACTGAGGTGTTGGAAGCCAGCAGGGCTTGCCGAGTCTGGCACATAATGCAGTTGTGGCAGGAGCGCCGAATTTTTATGCTATAAGCCTGTCTGAGAGGAAGTTTCAATTCAAAACCTAACGCCCCACAACTCCTGGTTGATTTGTTAATATTCACCTGGGTTGTGTCTTTCTTTCTGCATAAATTCTGTTCTCGTTCAGTCATAAAAAGCAAACCATCTTTTTCCTGTCAGTTTACTCAGTATGCCTCAGGGTTATGAGGCTCGAATGGATTTTTATCTGCTCAAACCTTTTTAAATCGCTGCTGGGAAACCCCAGTGTAGTGGGGCGGGGAATTCTGACAGGAAAAATTCCAGCCCCCAGAAAATCCATCACAATCCTTTCATATGTACAAAGCTGATCTTTAGAACAGGGAGGAAGGATCCTTCACGATCTTTGAGATCGGATATCCTTCTGGCAAAGTATCAAAGCCACTCCCATTTTTACATGCATTGCAAAGACTTTATTCCATTTTCTTTAAAACAATCTCTTTGACCATATCCATCAGAGCCCTTTTTCACATCTGGTTGGCAAGAAGGACATGTTTTCTGCAGACGCCCTATTTTTGTTTGTTCCGGGGTGAAATTCCTTCTCAGTTGTACTTTTGGGGGCAGAATGGATAGAAAAACAGTTCTGCTCAATGCTCCTTCTTTGGAGTCTTGTGAGCAACAATTCTGCTTTGTGAGCTACTGGCATTAAAGTTGTGAGCAAGCAATTTGGCTGCTGCATAAATTAGTCTGCTCTGGAGTCATCCTTCCGGAGCTAAGACAAAAAAAATGTGTGAGCTGGAGGCTAAAAAACTGTGAGCTACTCACACAAACTCAGCTCAGAGGGAACACTGGTTCTGCTTACTGCTTTCACTCCCCCCCCCCCCCGTAAACAAAAAGTACCTAGTGTACAAAATAACCCCAAAATATCAACTGATTTCTGCAACAGGGACAGTTTTTTATCCTAGAGAACATAAACGTACTGAGATTTAAAAAACAAAAACAAAAAAAACCTACGTCATGCGTTTTTCCAGAAAACACTAGTGCAGGGAGCATTGTGAAATGCTCACAAGTGACATAGCCTGTCACTTATTTTGTAGAAAGATGACTTGGTCACATTCTGCAGAACCAACGTATGTTATTTAACATGCAAAAGTGGGTGAAGAGATCGAACCAAAATCAAATTCCACCTCATCTCCAAGTTGTTATCATGACTGCAGACGTGAAACGGGCTCTGGGAGTTGTAAACACACTGGGGGAAATTTGTTTTGGGGGGACGTTTCTACCCTGCAATGCACTCAAATGTTACTTGGGGTCATGAATATACCCCAAATACAATTTGTGTGTTTTCATACTGTTGTCATATTAAGTAAATAGTATTTCATATCTGTTTCTTTAAAGGAAGGGCATTTCCAAGGACGGGAGGGTTGGTGCAAAAGGGGTGTGGTTAAAGGAAGAAGGGCGGGGCTAGAAGACCAGAGTTGAATGCAAGAGATTCTTCGCAACCAGTTAACTTTTGTTCACAGGTTCCGAAGTTCTCCGCACTGAATGTGGTATTTTGGATTTTCGGACTGGGAACAGGGCTAGGAAGGGGATGCATTGTCCAAAGTATTTCCTCACTTCCTGCTCTTCTTGACGCAGTCCCCTTCTCCTGAGCTCGTCCTGGGGCACTTCATACGTTTTTCCCACTAGAGCTGCCGCCTCCTTCCTGGGGACTTGGTAGACATCGGCTGGAGCGTGCTTTCTGTGAGGGACTGGCCCCGGGGACCCTGGCTCGGCCAGGACTTTGACCCGGTTGGCCGGCACAATCCCCTGCTGGCCGTGCAGGGAACACAGGTGCCATCCCTCCAAGCCCGGAGCCTCTGGCTGCAGCAGAACCATCAGGTCCCCTTTGCGAAAGGAAAGTTCATCCAGACACTCGGCGGTGTTGTCGTACAGAGCGCGGCACAGCTGAGCCTGAGGGAGAAGAGGCAGACAGAAGGTTAGGGAATCGGGCTTCCACGTCAGAGGTCCCCAAACCTTTGGACCCTGTGGTCCCCAAACCTTCGGACTTTGGGATTCTGATGCAGGATTGGTGGGCACAACCGCAAAATGGCTGCCACAGGAGATGGCGAACACCACAAAATGGCTGCCAAAAGAGGCAGTGCTGACTGCAAAGTGACAGGGAGCAAGGTTATGCATAAATCTAAATAGTAACTCTTCAACATTTCAGGCAGAAGCTCTGTTTACAGCCAATCAGAGACTCTGGTAGCCAATCTGAAGACCTGCTGGGCAAAAGCTCCACCTACTTTCTAAAAAAAAACCACACTTGACATGAGCCAGGAATGTTGTCGGTGGGTGTTATGGTGCCCAGGGGCACCATGTTGGGGAATCCTGCTCTAGGCACTGTCCTGCGTGCGAGACATGCACAGTAAAACCTAGATCGACATTGGCCAACTGACTGCATTTCAGTTATCCTGGATTCATACAGGCACAACAGCCCACAACATTCTGCCAGCAGCATCATTCTCCTTGGATGCACCGGCAGGCTCACAAAACAAACACAGGCCCCGGTCACACGGCAAAGTTGCCACAGGAGAGGCACGGAGGGTGGGCGGATTATCCGGGCGCGATCACACCCCAACATCTGGGAAGTGGAGCGCACCCGTGGCTTACCGCCGACAATGCGCATTAAAAAACTAGTACCTCCAAGGTACTAGTAAACGTTTGCCACGGGCTGCCTCCAGACACCCATGGTGTGATCGCGCCGATGCGTGGCATTCCCCTCCGGTCCCCCGTTTACCCGCCGGCGCCGAGGGAAGGACCCGTGGTGTGCCGCCAGCGCGTCTGATCGCGTCATCGCGGATCAAACTGCGCCGGGGCAATTAGCCACGCCTCCCCCCCGCGATATCCGGCCCGTGTGATAGGGGCCACATAAAGATAGGCAATGAGCACCATCCAATCAGGCAAAAGGCCCAGCATCCTCTTAACTACTGCCAGTCAGCCAGATGCTTCCAGGAAATTCGCAAACTAGGCAGGAAGGCAACGGCGTTCACACATACTTGGTTCGTCCCCAGCATCTGGTGTTCAAAAGTATGCCACCTCCAAACATGAGCCATGCATTTAGGTATTCTGGCTAATAGCTCCATATGGTCCATTCCTACTATTGCTCTGTTAACAGAAAGGCAGAACAGAGTCAGGCACAAGCGCTTACATTCAAGGACATCCAAGAGAGGTGAACACACAGCCATGCCTGGGAGCTGTTGTTCCACTGGAGAAGGACTGATGGAGGAGGAGGTGTAGGAGCCCACACAACAGTCCCAAACGCAGTCGTTCCAGTAAATGGGATCACAGCGTCCTCTCTAGATGCCAAGGTACACCTGGTCCCCCAAAAGGGCGACCCACACAAAAGTGAGAGGCAATCCTGCGTACAGGCATCACAAGAGGCTTCACACCGGTCCTGACCACAAGTGAACACCAAGACGAAGTGGGACTTGCCTAATCAGCAACCAAACCACAACAGGATGTGAAAACCGCCGTCACTCCCCTGCTACACTCTCAAGTGAGCGTTGTTCCGATCGTTCCTAGATATACAATATCAGGTCTCCCCAGGTTAAAAAGATCAGACGAGCCCTGCCGGATCAGACCAGTGGTCTATCTAGTCCAGCATCCTCTCTCATGCAGTGGCCAACCAGTTCCTCTGGAGGGCCAACAACAGGGCATAGAGGCTGAGGCCTTCCTTCTGATTAGGACACCGGAAGAGGCCTGCTGGATCAGACCAGTGGTCTATCTAGTCCAGCATCCTATCTCACACAGTGGCCAACTGCTTCCTCTGGAGGGCCAACAACAGGGCATAGAGGCTGAGGCCTTCCACTGATGTTAAGAACATCAGAAGAGCCCTGCTGGATCAGACTGCTGGTCCATCTAGTCCAGCCTCCTGTCTCACGCAGTGGCCAACCAGTTCCTCTGGAGGTCCAACACCACAGAGGCCGAAGCCTTCCCTTGACGTGGCCTCCTGGCTTTGGGATTCAGAGGCTTACTGCTTCTGAACAGGAAGGTTCCCTTGAGTCGCTGACAGCCCTATCCTCCACGAACCTCATCCCCTTTTAAAGCCATCTACATCTGTGGCCGTTATTACGTCCTCTGGCAGCGAATCCCACATTTTAATCACTCGCTGCGCAAAGAGGTATTTCCTTTTGTCCGTCCTGAACCTACTGCCCACCAGCTTCACTGGACGTCCTCAAGTTCCAGTATCTTGGGAGGGGAGGAAAAGTTGCTTATCAACTCTCCCCTCCTTGGGCCTAACCTCGGCCAGGTTGTGCCGTCCCGCATGCGCACGTTGTCATGGCTAATCTTGGATAAAGCAGGGCCCAGATAGCACCAACCCCTGGAGAAGGCACTAAGCCGAGGGCAAACCCCTCCCTGCTTTGGAGCCCAGAGGCACCCGCTCCACCCCGTCTCTTCACCAGCTGCCTCCCCTGCGTTTCATTTCTCAGCATCTGTTCGTGGTCTCCAGAACTCTCCCTTTCGCCAACCAAATCCCGCTAAGCCCTCACGCTGCCATCTGTTGCCCTCCAAGTCACAGTGTTTTAATGCACCCCACCCCCTTATTTCATGGCCAGTTCAAAAGACACACATAACAGGGAGTCAGGGAAGGGGGATATTCCTAGCTTCTCCCCCACCTTGGTTTCTATTTCCCTGTCGTCTCTCTCTTTCTGGGAAGATCTAAACTCCATGAGCAACATTTAAGGAGAGGGGCGGAGACGGCCGTTCCTAAGCCTTGGTCCTTCTTCCGGCCATTTGACACGTTCAGGAAAAGCAATTTGATGCTTCCCTGCTAGGACTGTACCACATCAAAATGCGGGGCTGTCTGGGAAGGTCTTTTACATCTAATTGCTTCCTCACGTGAAAGTCTCCCTGCACTCAGAATGTGATGCTTCAGGGAGAAAAGGCTGGACTCTTATCACTTCTCCCTAACATGTTACATTTTTACAAGCATGGAAGTATTCAGTTAGGCAATCCCCTACTTGCATTCTGAAGTGACACAGTCTCCCCGCTATACCGTGTTGTTTGGCTGGCCGGAGTTGCTCATAAAACAATATTGTAGGATACAAATTTTCCCTGAAATACCCGGGAAGAGGTCTCTCTTGCCAAGAGCACCCAAGCAGCATGGGACAGGGGCAACCGAATTCTGTGATATTTGGAAAATGGAGTGCCCCCCCAAAAAAAAATCGTGGAATCTGGCTGCCCCCATCCTGAGGATGGAAACATACTTTTGCACACCAACTGGCGGCCTCCCAAGTAAAACTTCTTGGCAATGGAGGCCTTCGGAATTTAGAGCGCACATGGAGAGTTGTAGCGCTACATACAAAGACCATTTGTACACGGCATTATCATTCAGGCAAAATCCAAAGGGGGAAGTGTAACATTAATAAGTGGGGCCACAGATTTCAAAAAAACAATATTCTCTTTCTTATTAATGGCGGGCAATCTCCTTTAATATTAAAATCTGGTATAACTGCCAGGGGATTGGATAAACTGGTCCTAGGGGCTGGATCAGGGCCACAGACTGTTAACTAAACTATCCCTGATATATATATATATTTCCAAAAAAACTCCTTCCATTGTTACTTTGCTTTTCAATCTAAGTAGCCCAAGATGGTAAAACAACCCAAATAAACTATGCTTGCATGTTTGACAAATGAGTTGACCTTTCTAGTCCATTACCAAATACCTCCCTTGAGGACTCTGAAATATCAGGCAGTCAAAAAAAAAGGGGGGGGGGGAGAAACAACCAGTTTGGGTGTTCACAAATATTTATTTGCCAGGAATGATCTCATTTGGGAGTTTGGCGCATGACCCCAGAAGAAAAGAAGCAAACAAGTGTTTCTCAACTGGGGGTTAGATCCATGGTTCCGTCTACGGCTGTGCAAGGCCTTTGTTTTCGATAAAACACTCCATTATAAAAACCTAAACACGGTCTATTTCCCAACAGTGGAAGGCCCCAGGGTTTCAGCCTACTCGCGAGCCAGATTCTCTGGTGAGGACACAACCTCCTCTGTCCTGAATGTACTATCCTAAAATGTGGCCATTTTTAAAAGAGATTATTATTTTGACATTCAAATAAGCCCCAGGCCTAGTCTTCCTAAACTCCGGATTCCAATTTCAAACCTGTTTAGAGTTACCACCAACTTCACTTGAAATAAAACTGGAGGCATACCAGGGGAGTCTTCCTTAGATGAAACTTGTTAGAATTTGAGGGAAATTAAAATAATTTCAAGATCAGGGCCATTTCTCGGGTTTCCCCCATCCCAAACTCATACATATCTCTGAATTGCCAGCAAAATAGAGTCCTCCTGTTCTAATGGCAATTCTCTAGGAATTGTTATTGTAGTTAAAAAAAATTTTTTTTTGAATAAGGCTAGCAACATTTCTCTGCCTTTTCTTTTCAGTTATTTGGTGTTCTGAAACCCGCTTCCCCTCACAGATAGTGGTAATCCCCTCCCTCAAAAAAGCACATTACACCTTCAGCACATCCGGAAAAACGTGTGTCCCAGTAACCCTGAAACATAAATCTTTTGTCCAAGGTCACAGGAGCGCAATTCCTGCTTCCCCTCTGGACTCTGGCCAGGCCTAACTAGGTTGCCTTTCTTTCTTTGATACTTACAGACATTTTTGTTCAAGTTCAGTGCTGGAAGGAGTCAAAAAGGAGACTGCAGAGTAAGAAAACAGTGAACCAAAATTATACTTTCTCCATTCCTCTCATATTTTAAGGCTTCTAGAAAAATAACCCTGCTTTTAGCTGCAGTTCCCCCTCTTTGCGCAGCTCAGAAAGACAGAAAATTCCTGAGAAATTCTACATCAGTTTTCATCCCATAAAAAAAATTCCAGACTAGAAGACACTAAAGGAAATTTTTCTTAAAAAAGAGAATTCCTTAAAATACTTTTTTTGGGGGGGAAACTCTTCCCTTGTAAAATAATACTTCATTACTTTCCACCACTGTTCTTTAAAAAGGCAGTTTTCCAAAGCGGTTAGACAATCCCTCTCCTTTGATTCGAAGGATTGTGGTTTCCCAAAAATCCAGCCCGTTTCAATTGGAAGTTCCGCTTCCCCTCAGAAGTTTTAACGTCTTCCCAAACCTTCTGGTCAGCAAAATCTTCCCAGAAAAGCCATGGGGGCAGGGCCTGACCGCTCTCAGGCTGCATGAATTGAGACAGGCAGGGCAGCAGTTCAACAAGTTGGAACAAGGTTTTGTGTTGCAACCACAGGGTGGAATTGCAATCCAGAAGCAAAGCAGAGGCATTTACAAAACTTCTCTCCAAAGGTTAGTTCTTTTTTTAAAAAAAACAACCCAAATTGGCACACTGAAAATAGCCATGTCTTTTGCAACCTAATGAAATCCTAAAACCTTGAATTCTCCTCCTAGATCTAAAACAGGTCAGTGGAAAGGCTGAGCATTAGACAAAAAAAAACAAAAAAACCCAGAGAAGGCAAACAAACTTTCTTTTTCAAAAACGAATCTATGCAGAATAGACTCTTTTCAAAAAAAATATATCCGGCGGATAAGCTTTTCCTGAGGAGACAGGCCAGTCTTGATCCCGTCGAGAAATATTCAGGCCTTTTGCATACTTTCTTTCAAACGCCTAGAAACTGGTTTTGTTCAGTTCGTTTCTGACGCTGGTTCCGAATTTCCTCCCCGAATCCAAAACCGATGCAGCACATCCATCCAGGGCTGGCTTTCCATTCCAGATCCAAGTAACCTGCAATCTGAAAACACCAATGGCTTAAATAAACATCAAGTGGCGGAAATAATGACATTCTTCGGCATCCATATTTAGTAAATTTCTCTCCACTGAGCCAAAGACACAGATGAAATACAATTCAGGGCCGGGGCGGGGAGATCCCCTCAATTCCAAAGAATGGGCAACAGGGCCCTCTCCCCCAAACCTTTCGCAAACTTAATTCGGTTCTGCACCTTTTGCAGAGCAGAGCAATCTGAAAACACCAATGGCGAAAATAAGCATCAAGTGGCCGAAATAATGACATTCTTCGGCATCCATATTTAGTAAGTTTCTCTCCACTGAGCCAAAGGCACAGATGAAATAAAATTCGGGGCGGGGGGGGGAGATCCCCTCAATTCCAAAGAATGGGCCACAGGGCCCTCTCCCCCAAACCTTTCGCAAACTTAATTCGGTTCTGCACCTTTTGCAGAGCAGAGCAACCTCCCCTGGTCACGCCCCCTGCCAATCAGCCTGCAGAGACCCAGGGAAAGGTCCCGGGGCCGAATCCAGGCGCCGGGATTCAACCCAGAACCGGAGTCGGGCCTCTAAGCCAAACCCAAACCCGGGGGAAGTCCCGTCCTCCGTGCCGGGCTCGACCCCAGGCCGGCCGACGCCGCCACCCCGCTCCCCCGGCCATGCTCCGGCGCTCAGCCAACCAACCAATGCCATCCACGTCGCCTTTCTTCCCGGGCGCTCCACGGCCACACGACTTCCCGGGCCGGTCGGTGCAACTTTCAGGCGGCGGCGCCCCCCTGCGCCCTCCGGAGCCCGCTCCCCGCCCTCCCCAACGGGCTCAGAGCGGCTACAACAGAGGCAATTGCCATAACAACAGTTAAAACAACATAAAAACAAGGGACCTCTCCTCCCGGGTCTCCCGCCGCCCTAGGGCGCGCACCTCTGCGCCCTTTCCCCCGCCTCTGCGTGCCCTCCTGCGCCGCGCCGAAAAGGAGGCAGGCCAGGCGGCAGCTGGACTTGGAGCCCGGCCAGGCCTTTCTCTCTCCCCCCCACCCCGCACAGCCCCCATCGCCTTCTCCAGCCCTTCCTCCCTCCCTCCAGCTTCGCTGGGTCCTAGTGGCTCCCTGCTTTCCCAACAGGAGAGGCCTCCATACGAGCCACGTTGACTTCCATGGCGCGCGGGGGGGGGGGGCACAGCCACCTCCCTCTAGCCCCGTAGCTAGGGCTTTTGGGGGGGAGGGGGCCTCAGGGGTGGTGGAGCTCATTAAATCAAAGTTAATTACATTAATTCGCTTTGGGGCCAGCCCAGGGGGGAGTGGGCCTGGAAGAAAAGCTAGGGGGCCAGGCCCCATGGGCCCCCACATTAGCTACGCGCCTGGGGGGACACCTCCCGGAATGGCAACTGAGCCTCCCCCCTGGCCCCGCTACAGAGATCAGTTCCTCTGGAGGAAAGGGCTGCTTTGGGAGGGTGGATTGTCGGGCGTGATGCCCTGGCTGCCGAGGACATTCCTGGAGATGGGGTGGGGTGGAGTCTGAGAAAGGGGTGGTTTGGGAAGGGGCGTAAGGCCACAGATCCCACCTTCCAAACCCGGAGACTCATCCAATATAATAGTGAGACACGCTCAGCGTTCCCCCTAAGCTGAGTTAGTGTGAGCTAGCTCGTAGTTCTTTAGCCTCCGGCTCACACATTTTTGTCTTCGCTCAGGAAGGATGGGGCTCCAGAGCAAACTAATTTATGCAGTAGCCAAATCACTTGCTCACAACTTTAATGGCGGTAGCTCACAAAGTAGAATTTTTGCTCACGAGACTCCACAGCTTAGAGAGAGCATTGCACACAGTATATGTGTGTGTGTATTATATATATATATATACACACACACTTAAATTAGCTGTGTGTGGCATCAATACCAATTTCAAAAATCCACAAATAATTAAAGAGAAGATCATTTATAGACAAATAAGCAAACCATTTGTACAATTTCCAAATCCTAAGTAAAAGTATTCATACAGCATACAATTTATAATCAGGGCATAAAGGATTAAACATCAGTCCTATATATGGCTCACAAAGTCCCAAACACTCCCAAGGCGCTCAGTCCCTCCTAATGGACAATATCCTTCACAGTATAAAGGAGGAAAGCGAGCTTCCAGAAGAGATCTACTCCAGAATTTCCAGAAAGGAACACTGGAACGGTTTCAAAAGAAGAACTACGGGATTGCTAGCTTCCTCAGTATCCTCCGCGTTCCACCAGTCGGAACCAGTGAAGGATGTCACTATGAAAATACAAGGACATTCTAAAAACATTTTGCAATATGTGTATGAAGCCCATACATCCCAAGAAATGCTGTTACAACCAATTAAAAACATACCTGAAAATCAGTCTCAGTGCATTCCGTTTACAATACCAATTTCAAAATGGGCTATGCCTTCATAGAGTTCCATATTCTCACAGCACCACACTCTAAGCACTTCTCAGATTAAATACATCTCACAGCATTCCACAGGTGCAACTCATTCAACGTGAAAGGAAGCCCTTAAAGCGACAGTAAGTCAAGCACTGCTGCTGGCCCAGCCTCCCCAATGCCTTTAAATACAATCCCCCCCAACACCAGACAGGCCGGTGTCTGTCAGGTGTAGGAGCAGGGCCAGGGTATGAATGTTTATGGGGAGATAGTAAAGGACATTTCTAGGAGCCATTTCAATGCGTGCCTCCCTCATGAACCTGAAGAAATGTCCACCACATCACCACTCCCTCACACCAACTCCCCCTCACACCTCTCACCTCTTACTGCCCCCACTAACGCTACAAGGAGGAGGCAATTTAGGAATGCGGCAAAGACATTTGCACATAGTACTCCTGCAGTGCACTGAGCTGCACAGGCCAAGTACCAGCAAGATCACCCTGAGGTGCTCAGAACAACACAGTCTCCATATGAGCAAAACAGTCCAGGAACACAAGTAGAGAGGCCATCACTTTCGTGGAAGGTAGCAGGAGTGGATTTAACAGACGACTGCTTCTTAAATGGACAGGTCTATGTGGCCTGCTCCTATCACCTGAGGGCAGAGCCACCAATGTGGTCTAGAGAGAGGTCCTTCAGTAGAGGGGGGGGCGGAAAGTACATATGGCTCACTTTTCTTACACTACAATCTTCTCTGTTAGAATTCCTACAACAAATGTCACATTTCAAATTTCAGTATTATAACTGGATTTACGGAACTTAAATACCATAGCGAAGCACGGGTAGCAGGCTAGTAATTAATAAACGCAACGTAGTAAGAGAAACAGATATTTTTTTCGCACACGTTTGCAAAATATTCACATTTTCTGCATTCAGAAGCAATGGTTTGAATGTCAGACATCCTTTCCAAACCCAAACAGGAGTTTTCTTGAGGCATATTAAGGACTTGAATATTTTTATCCTAGCAGAAAAATTCATGGGATAGAGTCACAAAAATCTGGCTTTCAGCCTGGTCCTATGTGAGTTTACTGGAAAGAAAGTCCTACTGTGTTGAATGAGGCTTACACCAAGGTGAAATGTACACTGGGTAGAAGAGAAAGTAGTATGGTATAGAAGAGGAAGAAGAATAGATTGGCTTTATACCCTGCCCTTCACTACCCGAAGGAGTCTCCGGCTTAACAATCCCTTTCCCTTCCCCTCTCCACAACGCACACCCTGTGAGGTAGGTGGGGCTGAGAGAGCTCTGCTGAGAACTGCCCTTGAAAGAACAGTTCTGAAACAACTTGTAACTGACCCAAGGTCACACCAGCAGCTGCATGTGGAGGAGTGGGGAATCAAACCTGTTTCTTCCAGATTAGAGTCTGCGCTCATGCTCCTAACAACAAAGTGCTCTTTTTGTAGCAGGAACTCCTTCACATATTAGGCGACACACCTCTAATGTAACCAATCCTCCAAGAGCTTACAGTAGCTCTTGTAAGAAGAGCTCTGTAAGGTCTTGGAGGATTGGCTACATTAGACGTGTGTCGCCTGATATGCAAAGAGTTCCTGCTACAAAAAGAGCCCTACACCAAACTGGTGTACTAGGATCTGGGGGCTGGTTTCAAATCCCATCTCTGCCATGAATTCCACCAGGCGACCTTTGGCCAGTCAGTTCAACCTACCTCGCAGGGTTGCTGTCATCATACAATGGGGAAAAGAGAACCACGCACACCACTCTGAGCCCTCTGGAGGAAGGGTGGGGTTTGAAAGGGCACTAGCGAGCTATTTTAAGTCTTGTTTAAATTTTAGGGAATAACACTGAAACCCAGTTTCCTTCTGTTTGTACCACAATAGCCCAAAACAAGTGCTCCTCAACATTCCTTAAGTGGAAAACAGGCATGTTGAGGCTTGAAAAGGGCCGATGGGGTAGAAGAACAAGGACAGCCGGTTAGGATTAGGAGGGATGGTGAAGATCCCATCAGATTAAAAAAAAGGGAGACCTGTTTGCTAAGATTAAGGAGAAAGGCCAAGTATAAGAACAGAAGAAGAGATTGGATTTAAACCCCGCCCTTCACTCGGAGTCCCAGAGCGGCTTACAAACTCCTTTCCCTTCCCCTCCCCACAACAGACAGCCTGTGAGGTGGGTGGGGCTGAGAGAGCTCTGAGAGAACTGTTCTTGAGATAACAGCTCTGAGAGAACTATGGCTTGTCCAAGGTCAACCAGTAGCTGCAAGTGGAG